CCACCCCCCGCGCGGGAGATATCGCGAGAAGCAGGCTTACTATCCGAACTTCCCCGGGCTTGGGGGAGTTACTCCGAAGCGCAGGAAGGTGTGGCACTCTGGCGGGGCGCGCTCTCCTGCTGTAGATGCCAGGCTAGACAGAGGCCTGTGGGGGTGGCCCGCTTCTGAGCAGCACCCCGCGACAGGGACGGAAGGTGGTCCGCGAGGGGCAGGAGAGCTGAGGTGAAAGCGGTGCGCGCCCTCCGCGCGGGGCCGCTGGTCGCCCGCGCCGGCCCTCCGCGGCGACCCCGTGCCGGCCCCGCGTGTCGCCCGGGCGGCACTGCCCCTTTAGCTCCGGCTCGCGCTGCACGCGCCGGCTTCCCTGGCGTAGGTCAGCCCCTTCTGGTGCCTCGCTCCGCTCGCCGCCCTCTCGGGTTCCCGTTCCCTCCTCCGCCGGGGTCGCCGTGGACCGCGTGCGCCCGGAGAGCCAGAGGCGAGACGCGGCCCGAGTCGCTAGAGGGAGGCGTGGGGCCGGGGAGGGGGCTCAGGGATCGGGCGGAGGGAGGGGCGGAGGCGGCGCCGGGGGAGGAGACGAGCGCTCGCAGTCGGGGCTCGGCGCGCCTGCCTTCGCTGCGTCCTCAGCCGCGGGCTCGCGGACGGCCGAGTCCCCGCGCGCCCCGCGACAGCTGCCTCGGGCTGGGGCCGTGCGTCCCGCGCCTAGCGCCTCGCCCCTGCGACCCTTCGCCCCTTCGCACATCGTCTCCTGCGCGCTCCGTGCCGGCCGCGCCTCCCTCTCCCGCCCGGCTTTTCTCTTCCGGAGGACTTTGCCCCTGACATCTGGGGAGAGGGTGTGGAAAGGGGGCTCCGAGACTGTCCGGAGGCCGAGGAAGCGAATCAGGCCCTCAGGCGGCCGAGGAGACCCGCGCTGCCCTCCAGTCCGCTCCGAGCCCCGCCCCGGCGCGCCCTCCTCGCCGGCGAGCGAGCGACTTTGGGACGACGAAAGTGAGCGGCCCGGGTGACAGCGCCGCGGGCCAGTCCCGGGAAGCCGCGCGCCCGCCCGCCCGCCGAGGATGGCCTCCACCGCCACTTGCACCCGGTTTACCGACGAGTACCAGCTCTTCGAGGAGCTCGGAAAGTAAGCGCCCTCGCCAGGCATCGCGCGTCGCCCCCGACCCACTGGCTTTTGGCGCAGGGCGAGGGAAGAGGGGGGCAGGGGTTGAACCCCCCGGTGTGTCGCTCTGGGGAAGGCGCTGACTCGGAGAGTGGGGAGGTGGTGGGGGGTCGAGAGCGCAGACGCCTGGACCAGAGAATCCCCAGCCCCTTTCTCCTCTCTATCCCTGCCGGAGAGAGTGAATTACGATCTCTGCAGTTGTAGCTGTCATCCTGCGAAGGGTGCTGCATGTGTGCGCGGGGCTGTACGTGTGGCTCGGAGACGAGAGCCTCTACCACGCACACAGATCACGTTTTCTGTAAATAGAGATGCCAGTCGGCATGACCCGAGCGCTGATGAGCGCTCGTTGCACCGACGGTGACATGTTTATTGATGCCGAAAGTTCAGCTCAGTCTCGTGGAGTCACTTTCATGTCCAGTAGTTGTTCTGTCCAGGAAAAAAAGCCATTCGATCGAACTCACCCCTCTGCCCCATAGCCACTGTAATTCTTTGAACCGGATTAATCGCTCATCGTCCTTCCTGAGATTTGGGAGCGAGTTCTTTTAGCTCCCTGTGAGGATTTACTTTTCCAGCAGCGTAAAAAGCCCTTTGGAGACTGGGAGAGCACTGCCCACGGGTACCCTAGCTTGTATGAAACCACCTTCTGCACTCAAATGGCAGAATTAGTTGGAGTTATTACAGAAAGGACAGGATACCTACTGAGGACATGAGCCCTGAGTGTTGATTTATGTAGCATCAAACCCAAACAATTCTTCCATCGATAGTTTCAGCAATTATCCAGAGGGTGCGTTTGCATGTGTGTTGCTCGTTCATACAGCTGAATTCGAGGAAAGGTGCATATCCTTAAAGGTAGTGAAAATTATATCCTTATACACTGTCTGCTATTAAAACATGGAGAATATGTCGGAAGTGCAGCTTAATTCTGCTTTGTCCCCTCCCCCAGCCTCAAACAGGGCAGAGAGAAATCACCTTACCAGGATTTGTTAAAACGCACACCAGTGTGCTCAAGATTTATATTTTAATGAAGACAATCGCCATATTTACTTACTTGGAGCCACATTAATTATTTTCTTCTATCAAAATAGGCAGCAGATTTTTGCCACTACTCCTCCTCAGTTCTGCTCAGTGCAAGGTTTTCCCAGAGCATTTGGTGCTGTGTGTGAATTGTAAGATGTTTTTCAAATTCTGGTGCTAGCAAGAATGATCATAATTAAAAGTTCCTTTCATTTTGTTGATTACTAATGTATGCTCCCAGTTAGGTAAAATTTTACTTTATCCCTTAATGTTGAAATAATGTCTGGGTTTCCTGGAAGAAATTTTTCACTTTCAGGATGTTAGTAAATTACAGGTTTTTGACAATTCACTGAAATCAATAAAGATGTTCAGATTTTATAAATGTTTACCAAGATATTAGATCTGATGCTATTGATCAACCACTAATGATTTGTTTCCAGGGGGGCATTCTCAGTGGTGAGAAGATGTATAAAAATCCCTACTGGACAGGAGTATGCTGCCAAAATTATCAACACGAAAAAGCTTTCTGCTAGGGGTAGGTATTTTCAACCATATGTGTGTTGCTTTTGTATTCGTCATGTTGTTTGTTGTTTTTCTTGTAAGTACAGCTCATTTAGATATAATTAAATTTTAGATTTGGGTATCATGTTACATATTGAGTTTTTTATTCCCTGAATGCCTCTTATTGTGTATAATTTAAAAATAGATAAACAAATATCATTTAATAAAATTTGATATCTGTATAAGCAGGATGTAAATAACTTTTTTAGAACAAGTAATGTCACTAAGTGCATTTTGCATTTTTAGTTCCAGTATAAAATAACTTTAAGAAGGATCGTAGAATGGAAAAAAATCTGACTTATAATTTAAATCATAATTCCCTTTTGCTTTTGGGAGGAAAAATAGGTCATAGCTCAGTTGAATCATATATTTCAGTTGTAGTTACACTTGAACTTAATTTATCAATGTATATTTAACAGTAATGGCTTTGGGAGGAAAAATTGTGATTCCTGTAGCCTAGGAAACTCAACTTGATTTTGGTATTCTGGATACAGTGTTGAACTCTGCGTGGTCTTCCCTGAAACTTCACATGGGACCATGTAATGTATTTCACACATGCAGGTTATGGCCACAGAGATCATGCATATTCATAAAATAACTGTTGATAGAAACAGAATGTCTTGAATCCTACTGCATTCTTTTTATTTTGTTGAATTCATACAAAAATACTAACACTGATATGTTAGACATTCCAATTATTGTGGGCACATGTCTAAGATATTTCCATGGGAATTTCTGCTTTATGAAATACAAATTAAAATGAACAAAATACCATGCTGTAAGCCTGTCTTAGTGACCTGGTTTAAGTAATCGGAGTAGAGATTCCATTACAATTAGTTTTTCTCATTTAATATGTCTCTTCACAACTGCTTTTTGTGAGTGTCTGGCATCATTACCTTTGTCCCTTGGTATGATTAGGATGTTTGTATGTATTAAAATTCTGCTTTTAGCATATATTTAGTTTTAGGTGGCAGGGTCTTCAAATGAAGAGGATTTTGTTGTTCTTTTCTTTGGCTGACTTTAATATAATTCTGAGGATGCTGAAGTAACCAGCACCATACCAGCATGGTATGAAAACTAGTTAGAAACATGTTGTATTAATTATCTTTTTTTCCTAGTCTCTACTGCATAGAAAGTTTTCTAAAATGATAGAACTTGGAATGTTCTTTCAGGAAAAAAAAAGGAAAAAGACAAAAATGTGTAGTCACTCTTTTTCAGTGATTTTATTATTTAATTCCTGTGTGGTGGGTATTTTTGGGGGGCATTGTCAGATCTATCCCAAGTCTTCTAGTGGCTTTAAATTTGCCATCAAATCAGTGTAGTGCTTTAGGTTTATAAACCTCCTTAGGTAGTGTCATCCCTTATAGTCCACCTAGCTCAAAATCTCTACATCAGAATGGCAGGAATGGGTACTGTTTACATACCTTCTATTTTTTGCTGCCTCTGATCTGTGGAAGATGCATCTTTGCTGCGCTTCCTTCAGCAGCTCATTCCTTAATCTGCCTGAGTGCATGCATTATTGAAGAATATGTGTGGGAACTCATTGCTCAGGGTCTGAATTGTGATTCTCACATGTACCAGCTGTGCAATCATGGACAGTTTGCCTCGGTTCCCTGAGCTTTTTTGTTTTTTTTTTTGTTTGTTTAAAATCTGTCAGGTAGAATAATAGAACCTTTGCTTGTAGGATTTTTATGTGAAGGATTAGTCCAGTGTAGATAGCACCTGCCCCACAACATGCAATTAGTTAATAGTAGCTGTTATTATTTTCTGATAGGGTTGTTGAAGTAATCAAATTAGAGTACTTATGTCAAAGAAATTGAAAACTATAAATTTAGTGGAATATTTGATGAACTGTGAGAGCCCAATGTGAATCTTGGTTCTACTGCTTATTGTGTAAATTTGGTTGTCTTTTACCTTTCCTGGATCTAAGCTTCTTCATCAATAAAATGGGAAAAACATAATCATGAATTCTCATGGGGTGTTTTACAGATTCAGTGTTTTTCTGAGAATCACTTCTAAAATTGCAAAGTACCATAGCAATTTTACCTAGCATTACTATATCTGTGAAACTTACAGCATTTATTCTATGAAATGCTCAACAGGTTTATATTATTATACAACTATGGCTGGTTATTGAATATTTGTATTTTTAAATGTACACATTTAAGACTGGGTGTGGTGGCTCATGCCTGTAATCCCAGTGCTTGGGGCTGAAAACAGGAGAATCAGTATGAGTCTGATCTATATAGTGAGACCTTGTACTAAATACATTTTTTAAAAAAATCTCCTAAATGTACACATTTATATAATCTATACTAATATTACATATTCTTTAAGAAAAATACCACATTTTAATTTTTTGATATACCATTCAAAAATATAACATTGAGGATGTAGAAGACTCAGGACAGAGTAAATGTAATGAAAATATGGTTATTAAATTATCTGTACAGGAGTTAGTGTATTGATATACTTTTTTTTTTTTAAGGGGGTAACTAGGGATCGAACTCTGAACCTTGTGCTTGCCAGGCAGGTGCTTATGGTGCTGAGCTAGCTCCTCATCCTTTATTGATATTCTTTAAAATACAAATTTTAAAATCACAATCCCTTCAGAGAATATAATGATTCCAGAAAACATTTTTTTTTGTAGGAAAATTCTCAAAAGTGACAAAAATATTCAAAGGCAAATGCCGAATGAAATAAAAAGAACATGGCTACTTTTTCTAAGGTCCTGATTTTTGCATGCTAGGTGAACACTAGTGCTGAGCCACGTCTCCTGGTCTTTTTAAAATTTATTTTGAGATAGGGTCTTAATTGCCTAGGCTGGTCTTAAATTTGTCGTCTTTTTGTCTGAGCTTTCCAAATATCTGGGGTCACAGACATATGCCACTGTGCCCAGGGAAACATTTTTTGTATTATTTGAAATTCTGTGTCTTTATAAATACAAGTGTTAGAAAGACCAGCAGTTCATCTAATTCAAGTACTATTCTTTAGATGTAACATTACAAGTGAAAAAGAAAGGGCCATTTATTAGTAAATACACAACTGTGAGGGATAGCCAAAAATTTGGCTATGTTCCTGCACAAATGTGCACATCCAGCTGTACTGTCACCCAGTCATTTTTCTGCGCTTAGATTTTAATGGCTTTCCAGCAGGCAATTTCAGTTGTGTTTTCTCCCAGCTATTAGTCACACACCCCATATTTGGGAGTCTCAGAGTCTATTGAAGAATTTATTTCCTTTTATATCAGCATGTGCATGCACAGAACATTCATTACTGGCATAACTGAGTAGGTAAGTAAGTGTACTCATCATAGAGAATATGGTCTCTTTATAGTAAGAAGTGGCATTGAAACATCTCAAATATTTGATATTTTATGTGTAAGTTCTGTTTTCTAAAAAGCTTTTCTTTTTAGGAATAATGGGCATATTTAGTAAATGGTGGATAATTACAGTAGAATTTTTGTCTTATATTTTTACCATGAGAAATTATATCATTTTGATCCTGGTTAGTTTAGTATTTAATAAATGCTAATTTGCTGTTGTTAGCTAATTTAGTTTTCCAGTATGTTTAGAACTATAAATTGTTAATTGGATGAAGTCCATCAAGGATTACAAAGTTTATCAGAATCCAGTGAACTGATGACTCTGATAACAGATGCCTTTAGAAGTAGTTCCTGTGATTTATTTTGCATTGTAAAACCTCCCCTTACTAATAAGGACTTCTTGACATTCATCTTCCAGTGTACTTCTTGATGTTTAGAAACCACTCATTAGCCAGGGATATGGTCAGTGGTGCAGTGCCTGCCTGGCAAGCACAAGTCCCGAGTTAGATTCCCAGTAACAAAATAAAGAAACAAATAAAAAAATCCCCACTCATTATTACATAGTATATGTCACAAGTTGTTTTTGTAAGATGTAATTATTACAATATACACTTGAAATGCTATGTGATACTACAAGTATATTTTACCTCAACTCCATTGCTGAAGTTAAAAAGGTATTTTCTTTTATGCAACTATAAAACTTTATTATGTAATTAAGTCATTCTGATTTTTTAAAATTTCACTTGTTTTGGGCTGGTGAGATAGCTCAGCATACTAAAGTGCCTGTTTACACAAGCTTAGGCAAGTGCAGGGATCCCTGGCACCACGTGCCATGCCAGTCACGCCCACAGGGTCCTGACTTGGTGGTGCACCCCTGTATTCTCAGCACTGGGGAGGCTGAAAGCAGGAGAATCACCACAAATCTGAGCTGTGTAGTGAAACCCTGCAACAACCAAATACATTAAATAAAATAAAATAAAATTTTACTTACCCTATTATTTCCTAAATTGGTGATATTGGTAGAACATGAGATCAGACTTCATAAAACTGCTTCGCTATGTACATAGAACTAGTATATCTCTAATCTTTTTTGTTTTAATAAGAATATCAAAAATAATTTTTGCAATTTTTCTGATGTCCAGGCAATTAAGAAATTACTATAATTTCTCAGCATCATGAATTCTTTTTTTGAATTTGAAGTAAAATTGAGACACTGTGAATAAATCAAGTTGCACCCATTATATATTATTGATTTGGCAATGTGGAACTAATTGGGCAAATTAATATTTGTAGGGTGCTTGGCTAGAATAATGGTTTACGAAACAAATTATAAATCATTTTTATTTATTTATTTTTTACATGAAATCACTATAGTTCTTAAGTTTCTGGGACCAGAAGTGGCATGTGTAATCTTTATTATTTTGTCACCTTTAGTTATGTTTGGTTGCACTTGTATTCTTACATGGGCCTTGAGAGTAGATGTTTATTTTCTTCTTTTAGTTAATAAGAATATTTTTGATGTTCAAAACTAGTTTTAAGGCAGAAAAAAAAAAATGTATATACACATTTCCAGAAAAATAATAAAAACCTTTTATTCCAGCACCGTTACATAAGGGAAACTTAATAAAAATATGATTGTCAGGTACCTC